TCCCCATGAGTCTGTGTGTATTCAGGTTTAAGTCCCCACCAGAATAGAAAAACAGGCACACACACACACACACACACACACACACACACACACCAAAAGAATAGGTCAATTGGTTTCAGTTTTATATAGTTCTTACAATGAAATGGTCCTAAAATGAAGTAAGTGATGAACAGCCATTTCTTCAGGGAACCAGAAATAACTTTGATAATGCAGCTTACAAAACCCAGCACCTCTTTACAAACCTGTTTTATATACTAAAAATCACTGTTGTATTTAGGATACACTTAAAAACCCCCCCAAAAAAACAAGGACGAAAATGATGTTCTTTACATTTGTCATGAAAAACACATAAATTCCTAAACATACTACTTCATCTCGAAGTCAATATACTACAGATAAAAAACAACAACAAAAAAAACACCTGTCTAACCTACAATCGGAGAATGCTAACTGACCATTATGAACTGGAAAACCTGACTTGATGATTTAAAAAAAAAAAAAATCCTTCAAGTTAATAATAAAATAAAAGACATAATACATAACCCTTGCTTTCTCTTCAGAGAGAGGTACTGTAGGTTGAAAACGGTTATAGACACATTAGGTTGGATGATCTGATTAAATCTGTGCACACATGAAGATGGCAGCAAAGAGAAAATAGGAGATATAGCACTTTAAAAATGTAAGAAGGCAGTGTGGGTGGAGCAAAGTGTCAAGTCTGGCAAGAAGACTGAGGTTAAAAGGCTTTCTGCAGAGAACCAAAATAAACCAAAAACATGCAGAGAAAAGAAAAGAAGCCAGCGAAAGACTGGAAAACCTGACTTGATGATTTAAAAAAAAAAAAATCCTTCAAGTTAATAATAAAATAAAAGACATAATACATAACCCTTGCTTTCTCTTCAGAGAGAGGTACTGTAGGTTGAAAACGGTTATAGACACATTAGGTTGGATGATCTGATTAAATCTGTGCACACATGAAGATGGCAGCAAAGAGAAAATAGGAGATATAGCACTTTAAAAATGTAAGAAGGCAGTGTGGGTGGAGCAAAGTGTCAAGTCTGGCAAGAAGACTGAGGTTAAAAGGCTTTCTGCAGAGAACCAAAATAAACCAAAAACATGCAGAGAAAAGAAAAGAAGCCAGCGAAAGGAGGCGTCACCTTGGTCAGCAGGTGAGAGGGTTTTCCTGCAATGTTTTTCAGAATCAGAGAGGTCTCCCTGTCCAGATACGAGTGCTTTAGGGTGCAGGGAAAAGACAAAGAGAGATTAATCAGTGTAATGATTACAGTGATTCCAAAAATGATAGAAATACATACTTGATTGTGGTAAAGCATAGAAAGTGTGGAATCAAAATCAGAAAGAGGTGGCATTATGTGAATGGAAAACAAATATATAAAAGAAGAACTGTTTCGTATACAAAATATTGCGATCACAGATCTCTTTCTGAGAATAAACCTCTCCTGATATACTACAGTTTTCTATTGTGTCACCCAAATTATGACGTTATGAAACCTGGAATTATCACAGCTATAATAAGAACCAGTATTTTGAGAATGAACATACTGTGTACACATATCCCCTGTCGCGCACAAACACACTTACAGTACTTTGATCCACCTCCCCCTCCTGTGAGGTGAAGTCAAGATGCCGTCTGGTAGCTTTACCATTGGCCCTTCGCAGTGAGACATGCTGGGAAAAGGGGTGTGGGAGAAGTATGTGGGTAGCCAAGAGATGACTCAGCTTTAATGATTCAATGCTGAATTCAGTGAAACCTCGATCATCACATTTCCCAAAACCACAATACAGACTTTGCCCTTAACAAAAGAACAAACAACTGCTATGAATAGAACTGTGTTTGTGTCTGGGTCAGAGGGAATGTTAACTGTCCAAGTAAAGAGACCCTCTTTGTTCTAAATTGTTTAGTGAATAACAGGATAAACTTTTTAAAATGTCAGTGACTCTTTTGTTTTTTGGTAGTAATTAGACTGACTGTAAGACATTTATTCAAAATAGAATTATGACTAAGACTAATTAGGAAGTTACAGAGACGGGAAAAGAATGTTAAATTTAGAAACGTCTTCTCTTTAACACCCACATATACACACAAACACCCATATCAAGTAACTCAATTAAACACAATTAATTCAATTAAAGTCGACATGAAATCAAAAATTTACCCTATTTACTGCAATGCTCTCTTCATGGACTTATTTTTAATGAGTCATCTGACAAATCACATATTACAAGGGAAAAAAATGTTACTCTTTGTAAACTTTAATCAAAATGTATTAACTTGTTTTTCTATGCATATTTTTAAATAATAATCAGAAGTTAAGTTACTACATGTACTGTTTTGTATATGCATATTTTTAAATAATAATAAGCAGTTAAGTTACTACATGTACTGTTTTGTATATGCATATTTTTTTTTATATTAATAAGCAGTTAAGTTACTGGGGTTATTGGGGTGACCAACACCAATTAAACCACTTTTTATTAGGGGTGTAATGGTACACATATTCCTACCCAAAAATTTTCGGCCTTTCGGTTCGGTACACATGTGTACCGAACAATACAGCATTGTTTTAACCACCGCATGAGTGGAACTTCACTGGAAACTTTCAGTTTAGACTTTGTTTCTGATCAAAATTAACAGTATATTAATCTTTCAAATTATGTCAATTTTTTTCAATTTAAACAATAAACGGCTGTTTTGGTGCTCTTTGATGTGATCGCTGTATAAACGCCTCAGTTTAAACAGCAGTGCGGAGCGCAAGTGAGCGTTATCATCCCTTCCTCTTTACTACTAGCTTTATTGTGAAATAAACATGAATGAACATCTCATGCCTCACGTAATCGCTTAATCGGAACATTTTAATTATAATTTAATTTATTTAAAGAAAGCGCAATTTGTTCAGTAAACCACTGTTTTAAAAAAAAAAGCAATTTTATGTTTAGTTTTTTTCCTCCTGCTGTAGCAAAAAGACCATACCGAACCGTGATGTCAAAACAGAGGTACATACCGAACCGTCATATTTATGTACCATTACACCCCTACTTTTTATAGAAAACTACAGAGTACAGTCTTCTCATGTAAGTGAACCCCATTCAGATGACTCTTCAACAATATTTATTTCTTAATGGGTAAAATTCAATTAGAATAAATACAAATTAAATTAGAAAGGAAAGCTGGCCTGATTGAGACCATTGTCCCTGTGCTGACTGACAATGCTGCTCTATCCTTTTCTTTTGTGGATATTTCTTCTCTGGTGCTGTGCTTCAGATTTGAGCCCCTCACATCTGCTTTCAGTTTTCTCTCTGCTATATCTCACTCTGCTGAAAATTCTCTCAGAGGTTCTCACAGTGAAAAGAGAAGCATGGTCTCTTATGCCTTATAAACCTCTAGGCCTCTATGGACCAGTCATGTCATGGTTACCGTCCAGTTCTTCTTAAAGTCTGAAATCTAAGCGCCAGCTACGACATAATTCAAAAGGGAAAAAAGATTTAATATCAAGCTTGTGTGTGTGTGTATTTGTTACCTCTGTGCTAGTCTGGCTTTGGCTCTGATTCTGTGACTGCGCCTCATTCTCCTGCCCTCGAATGTCAAGTGAATCCATGCTGGATGCCGAGGCAGAGTTGACGCTTGACCTGGATGAATGACCGATGGAGCGCACTTCCTGGTCACTGACCGTCCCAACCGATCCTGTACGGCGATGGTGTGCGTTAGAAGGCGGGTGAGAGAGAGTTGCAGATGAATATGAGGAGGAAGATGATGAGGACGATTCAGAAGTCTGCCTCGCCGCCTTGTCCATGCTCAGGGACGCCTTTTCTAGCTGAGCAGTGATGTCATCCAGGGAGAAGTTGGAGGCCAGGGGCCGTGACTGACTGCTGCCACCGCGTACGGTGGAGGCCGGAGAAGCTCTGGTGCTGCTGCTGGTGCTTCCTCCGCTGCTGCCCCCTCCGGTGTGTTTGGTGCTGGCCGAGCGGCCTGTGGGTCTTTGTCTAGATTTGCCATCTGAGGGCTTGCTCATGGGTTTGCCGATAGTGCTGAGCTCTTGTTCTATTGAACACAGGTCGGCCATGAGGGCATCCAGGTCCACTGTCTCGCCTTGGTTAATGGCTTCTACATAGAGAGAGGACAATTTTAATTCATTTAATTCAAGTATGCTACTGTTCAAAAGTTTATGTTAATTAACACTTTAATTCAGCAAAGATGCATTAAATTGATTAAAAGTGATCGTATTTGTTGTTAAAATGATTTCAAATAAATGCTGTTCTTCTAAACTTTTTTTTCCGCAATGCGAATTAGAATTAGAATGATTTCTGAAGGATCACGTGACACTGAAGACTGGAGAAATGGCTGCTGAAAATTCAGCTTTGCATCACAGGAATAACTTAAAATTTTACAATATATCACAATAGAAAACAGTTATTTTAAATTTGAATAATATTTCACGTTATTACTGTTTGTACTGTGTTTTTGGTCAAATAAATGCAGCCTTGGTGAGCAAAAGAGACTTCTTTTAAAAACATAAAAAGACCTGAAACTTTTCAACTGCAGTGTTTGTACATGCTAAACTATAATTACAAGCATCCTGCTCTTATGCTGGTGGTTTAATGATAATCCATGCCGCAACACCACCATATCAGTTGCATGTGAAGGCGTTTTGAGTGGGATTTTGAGTGATAATGAATGCTGAGTAATCAGAGGTGGTGTGTGTCTGGGTGTAGTCTAACCGTTGATGTTGTACATAGAGAAACGGTAGGAGAAATTGGCAAGGTTTGTTTCCTGTCTGAGAGGAGCTTTCTGCACTTTCTCAGGACGCCCATCATCCAAACTCTACATTACAGAGAGACAGGGGAAGGTGATCAGGTAAGACGAGACAGACAAATCATAAACATAATCATCAATACAACACATCAATACAATAAAAAAAAAAAAGAAGTATCTAAATTAGGTCTGTCAATTAATTAAAAAAAATAGTAATAGAATACTAAATTCTGGCCTAAAATAGTTTTCATGTTGTGGCCTCTAACTGATAAACAGCTGATATTCAAATGTTATACTAGTTTGACTACATCAATTAAATAACACATTTAAAAAGAATAATCATGATTTTAAATGCTACAAGGGAATTTATCACATCACATCACATTATAATGCACAGTATGAAAAAATTTATATATTAATGACATTAGATCAGTGGTTCTCAAACTTTTTGATTCTTAAACCCCCCCAAAAACTTTTTGCCTCATTACTTCTCCAGTTGTTCATTATTATGATTTTAAAAATATTTTTTACATACAATTTCTACTCTGTAAAATAGTTTAAGCTGGGCATAAGTAGAAAAATGCATATTCATAAAATACATTAAAATAAGATTTTATTAAAGTTTACCCAAAAATGAAAATGTTGTTCCATGTCGTTTCTTTCTTATGTTGAACATAAAAGAAGATATTTTGAAGAATGCTGGTAATCAAGTTGATGGTCCCCATTGACTTCTATAGTATTTCTTTCCCTACTATGGAAGTCAATGGGGACCAACAACTGTTTGGTTCTTCAAAATATCTTTTTATGTTCAACATAAAGAAACTTATACAGGTTTGGAACAAGGTGAGTAAATGATGACAAAAAGTTTCATTTTTGGGTAAACTATTCCTTTAATTTACATGATATTTGTAGGTCTAGAAATATTTTTAAATCCCCTTTAAAAGTAAATTTTAAAATTAGGATCTTATATATTCAGGTTTCTGAGGACAGTTTCCAGTAAAAATAAAATAAAATAAAATAAATACATAAAAATGATTATAAATAAAATGACCCTGGTTGAACCACTGCTTTAGATGATGGCAAAGGTAATCTGATGTGAAAATAGGGAAAATAAGCATGTACAGTTAAATATACATACTGACCTATACTGATACTAAAAATACAAAATATCACCTGATATGGTAAAATTTTATGCATCCCTAAAACAGAATCAATTACATTATTCAATATCAATATTTGCAGAGAAAAGTCCCCAAAAGTTTAGATAATACATCATATTCAAGATGTAATTCATCACAACATCACACTGAGTGACTGAGTGTAAGAGTGTCACCTGTGTGAGTTTGTCCAGTTCTCCCAACCAGGCACCAAACATCTTGTCCAGATCCTGGTCCTCCTTATCGCTGTCTTCTTCAGCAGCATGGTCCAACTCATCATCTGATACCTGCTCCATATCTGCTGTAACACGCACACAAACACACCCACACCAGCTCAGTACATGATACAGTCAACAACAGAGAGCCGGATGTCTAAACACACAGAGAACATCACAGATATTACAGCCTGCTGACAAAGAACCAACATTTCAAGAATGACTTGTTGGCTTTGATACGTGTTTGCCAACACAATTAGTTGTTGATTCATTTGAAGGACGATGAACATCACAGGTTGTCATGATGATTGATTTCCACTTTTGTAACCCAGTAAATTATATTAATTTATCTCTCCTTATTTCACACCATCATGGAAACCCTTGAATCTTTCTTTTAAATGGGGGTTGTGATATGACACCTTCCGATCTGCATTTGACACTGCAATCCCAAAGGACAACATCTGGCATATTTGAGAAAAACAAAAACCTTTCTTTCTTCATTATCTTTATGCATTCTCTATCAGACACCTCCAGTGTTCATCTCTGTGTAAAGTAAGTCATTATTTCAAGGTTGCCTTCTGAGAGGGTGTGATGTGGTTGTTATGGTAACCTCAGCTCTGTCTCAAAGACTGGCATAGTTGCTATAGCAACCTTCTCTAGATCTCCCACTATCAGTTTTCACCCCCATCATTACCATGGTAAACCCTGCTGTACCTTCCACTGTGTTTCTTGATTCAAAATATTGTTCATTGCTGACTAATGTATCAACATTAATCAAAACATTCCTAGGTTACTTATAAGTACACTTGTTACACAAAATGCACTGCATCAAGCACACAAATAAACAAAACACAACTTGGAGATCAATATTAATGTTTCAATGCAATGTAATCATATTTTAGATGAGAAATTGGAAACGCTGTAATCAGGCAAATGTTGGGTGTGTTAGTAATGACCTCATTAGAATGGAGATTTGAGGGTGTAAGGCGGTGGTCGCCCTCTAGTGGACAGTAACGTAGCTGCACTCAGTCACAATTCAAGCAAAACACTCGAGTCAGCACGTGTGTTAGCATGTATTAGGCTTTTCATGCTGAGTCAGGGTTGGGTGAATGAGAAAAACCATGAACTTTGGTGAACAACAACCAGATGAGTCACACACTATGCATAGAGACATATTAATGACAGCCAGATTCACTTTCACTATCAGTTGGAAAAAAACTATGGTGGACCAGTAGTGCACAGCACAACACAACAAAATAGAAACAAGCTGCAACACAATGAAATTAGCACAACACAACAGAAAGAAGCTGGAAACAAGCCAAAACACAACAAAATTAGCACAACACAACAGAAACAAGCTGAAACATAACAAAATTAGCACAACACAATGGAAATATAAGCCAAAACACAACGGAAACAAGCTGCAACACAACAAAATTAGCACAGCACAACGGAAACAAGCCACAAGAAGTAAAATTAGCACAACACAATGAAATTAGTCCTATGCGTTGTGTTTTGGCGATTTCGTTGTGTTGTGTACTACTGGTCCACTGTAAAAACCAGTTGGGGCTCCTTGACTACACTTCACTATTACATGTACTATATATTATTATAGGCATAATATATTTATTATTACACAAAATGTGAAACTGAAACCTAAACTGATCATATCCTCAACTCTCTTATTCATTTTCCATCTTTTTCTGCTACTTGGGCCCAGAAAAGCAGAGAAATTCTGAAATTCATTGAAATTCTGAGCTCACCTTAACCCTAAAGACCTGCTTCACCCGTTGATCCAACAAGGGTGTGTTTGTACTAATGTATGTAGCAGACTGGAAAGCAGACACAATGTTTTCTAACATTTACATTGAAAATATTTTGATCAGAAATCAGAATCACATATTCCAGGAAGACATGTACTAAACTACAGCAATCAGGGGATTAGTATGACTTTTTAAATGTTTTTGAAAGAAGTCTCTTCTGCTCACTAAGGCTCATTTATTTGATAAAAAATATAGTAAAAACTGTAATATTGTGAAATAGTATTACAATAAAATTATAAAATGTACTTTATTACTGTGATGCAAAGCAAAGCTGCCATCACTCCACTCTTCAGTGTCACATGATTCTTCAGAAATCATTCTAATATGCCAATTTAAGATACATAAGCTTAAGATATTGCTTAAGATATATTCCTTATTATTAATGTCGAAAACAGTGTTGCTACATATTTCTGTGGAAACTGAGATTTCTTTCTAGATTCTTTGATGAATAGAAAGTTCAAAAGCACATTTTGAATATATTTTAAAAATATTTTTTAACATTATGAATGTATTTACTGTCACTTTTGATCAATTTAATGCATCCTTGATGAAAGAAGTATTAATTTCTATTAAAAAAATCATTTGAACAGTAATGTATTTCTAACAGCTAATTCAATATTATGGGTAGTTACAGCGCTTAGACCTTGAGAAAAAAGACCACGAGAATGGTTCTCCAGATGTTCTTAAAATTTGCTTAACTGCATAAATATTGTACCAACCCCATGTACTATCACTGTGAGAGTCTTCAGAATCTGTGTTTGGGTTAGGAGAGTCCTGGTGCCTTTGTTTTCTTACAATACAGTCCTGCTGACATCCACTCTAATAGATCGCAGGTCGGCAGGAGACACCAAACTGAACGTTTTACCCATTACTATTATAAGATGGTTTCAGACCCCTCTGGGTGAGCTGCATCTTCCAGTGTTTGCATATGCAAGTCCAGTGACAAGATACAATCAGAAGCGATTCAGTTCAACAAGGTGCTTAATTCAGTAGATCGAGTCTTGCAAATATATCATTCTAACCCCGTGCTCGGTCTCAACGCTTTCAGATCAGCAGGATGCTAATGACGCCTTCAGTCACTCTACTGCAAACGACCATGGTTCTGCATAATCAGTCAAGCACAAAGAGGATAAATAAAAAGAGAGAGAGGGAATGAGAGGGGAGAGTATGGGACAAAAGGAGATTTTGCAAAATTATGGAACAGCAGAAAATGAAAAAATAAATAAATAAATAGGTGGAGATGGAGAACGAGAGCAGAGGGAAATTAGAGAGGTGTGTTATCTTGGCACCCTGTTGCTTAACAGCTGCTGGTTTAGACTAAGCTCTGCTAAACTCTCTCTCTCACACACGCACAAAATGGTACAAAGTACAAAGTACAAAATGTAGACAATAAATTCATCCTTCATATTTCATCTGCCACTACACATAATCTAAAAATCTGTGCTTCATTCTATGAAACGAATGCCTTTTTTATTTTGTGATATTTTCAAAGAGACTTCTATTAAATATAAGTATATCTGTATGTGCTAATTAACTGAACTGTGCCATTTAAAGCTTTATAATATATGAATAAACAAGTGTCTGTTGGGATGTTGTGAATGTGAGGGTGGAACACTGCAAAGCAAAATGGCTACTGCTCTACTTATCATCAAGGTTACGGCCTGCTGTCAGCAGTGAACAAAAAAAGCAGTAACCAGGCCTCACGGACACAGAAAAGGATTCTGTTTTACATGAAAATAAATGTTTTTATGCAACCAAGTTAGGATTTTATTTACACAAGGATGCATTAAATTGACAAAAGTGACAGTACAGTGACAATGTATATTTCAAATAAATTAAACTTGTTCTTTTAAACTTACTGGCTTTGCATCACAGGTATAAATTACATTTTAACATACATTCGCAAAGAATTTTTTTTTTTGAAATGGTAATAATATTTTAATATTTATCATTAATAATAATACATTTATAAATGCAGCCTTGATGAAACTCTTTGGATGGTAGTGCATTTAATACACACACAAACCATCAAATAAAATAATAAATGTTCTAAAGGAATATGCTCATAATTCATAATTATGAAAATATATTTCAAGCATTCAAATCAGTGGATTGTTTTTTTCATAAAGTCATGAAATAGTACTTGTTCATAGGGTGACTCGTGTAAGAATGAGTGAAAATGATAGAAGAGAAAAAGAGAGGAACAGAGGGAAAGACAGGAAATGTCCAGGATGTACAGAATTCTTTATTTCCCCCGCGAGCTGTTCTGTCAAGGCTCTCCCACCACCCTCCAGCAGCTGTTCTCTGGCTGACACACACACGCACACACATTCTCCTTCTATGAGGCTAAATATGACATCATGGCTGGCCAAGGAGGGGGACAGGAAAAGGAAGAGGGGTGAACAGGCTACCACCCTTTTCCATGTGCACAGTCTCACTCTTTCAAACACACACAGACGGTGTCAAAGCAGAACAAGAAGAAACACTACAGCTGCCACTCTTACCTCCCTGACCTCTTGCTCAAACACACACACACACACATGTGCTTGTGAGCTTGGCCACAAATAAACACACACACACACACAAGTGGCATGTGTGCTAATGTTATTATTCATCCCTACCCAAACACATGACATATGGCAAAACACACGCCAATTGTAAAATATAAGTAGTGAAATTTTTGTACATTTTTATAACTTACAAACACTTTTTGTAGGTTTTGTAGTGTCTAGATTGGTATTACAACATTATATGCTGTATTAAAATAAACATATCATTCTACTGAACCTTTAATACAATAATCTTGGTTAAGATGAAGTCAGATATGACCACATACATTTCTGATGCACAGTTATCTTTTGACTTTGAATCAGTGTGATGCCACATTGAGTTGATCAGATAAATAGCAGAAAGAAGACTTAGACTGCAATGACGCTCTAAAACCATTCCTTTTCCTTGTTTCTCAACTGTGTACATCTCAACTCTGTACATCTGTTTTTCCCAGATAAAAACAAATTCAGCAGAAACAAAGGCAGCTTTTTACTGACACACATCATTTTCATAACCAGCAGTAATAGCTGTTTTAACACAACATTCCTGTAAATGCTTTACGAACACATCAGTCATTTGTGACCAAAAAAAACCTACCTATGACCTTTGACCATGTCATATAGAGACATTTAAAGAATATGTTACTGTACTGCCATACAAATGTCTGATTGTGATCTGCATGGGGAGCAATGAACGGATACCTCTTGCTCAAA